CCGCTGCAGACTGGCCGCTTCTTTTGCGCACTTTTCGGCCCCAAAGAGAGCGGTGACGAAGCGGTGACCTCGTGGTGAGAGCGTTTTTGGGCCATAAAGTGCCGTTTTGGGACGGTAACAAAAGCCGATGGTGAGATGGTATGGAACTGGGCCCGGTTTTGCGCACTTTTGCACCCAAAAAGCGAGTGGTGACAAAGCGGTGACAAGCGGTGACAAGCTCAGCGGGCTGGAATTCGCAGGCTTTTCGGGGCAGAAAACGGATTTCGGAGCACGGCGAATGCCTGGAGCCGGTTTTCGGCGGAAAACGAGCGAATTTGGAGGCCCAGGCAGCACATTTGACGCCTGACACGAAAAAACACACTTTTCGGAGTTGGCTGTTTTTAGCGCTTTTTGCACCAAAAACGGAGCGGCGACGAAGCGGTGACATCGCTGGTGACAAGTTCAGCTGGTTGGAAAATTATGCAGTTTTGCAGGGTTTTTGGCCCAAAAATCACAAATAGTTAGGGGTGTATAAGCCTTCTTTCCTTACTACTCTTGCCCCCCGAGGTGTCCTATAAAAAAATGCACACAATGCATAGCTACGTCGGTCAATTCATCATGCGCTACATCGGTCAATTCATAATGTGCTACAGGCCGAGGTGTCCCAAGTGTTTTGACCGACGCCATCGGTCAATTCGTCATAACCCGAGCGGTATCATAAGTGAAGGATACTTTCCCTCACTTCTTGTACTGCTAGCCTAGCGGAATTGAGGGATATTTTCCCTCAAAGCATCACACGACCATGCTACGACAAGATGACTCCATCGATTTTGCCCGAAAATCCTGGCCCATAGCGACTCAAGGGCTGTTGTGAGATGATATATGTTTATAACGCCCAGCGCTACGAAGACCCCGAATGGTCCATAGCGACTCAAGGGGGTGTGTTGTAACTCCTAAGAAAACATGTTTGAAGGACCTGCCCTGCTGGGGCGAACCGTCCAGTTTGACAGTGAGACGTCCGTGGGGCCCAGGATCTGCTCTTCTATGGCGGCCACCACCTCGTCAGCCCCTCCGTCGTCCGGAAAGCACACGCCTATTTGCAGGGCAGAGGCTGCCTCCGTGACGCCGAGCTTGTCGGCCAACAAACCGTCGATGGTGTAGTAGCTGAGCAGCGCGGCGGCGATGCTCGAGGCCGTTGCCGTGTCCTGGTCTGCGGCCGAGCGGTGCGCCACCAGCGCCGAGGTGATTTGGTTGGTTGTGAAAACGTCCTGGTCCGGGCCCGTCCGGTAGGCCAGCAGCGCTCCCGCGATGGCCGCCTAGTCTCCCAACAGCGCGTCCACTTGCGCCGAGGTGTAGTAGGCCAGCAGCGCGGCCGAGATGGCGCTGGTCGTCTCCGCGTCCTGCGCAGTGCCCGTCCGGTAGTCTCCCAACCACTTGCGAGGAGGTGTAGTAGGCCAGCAGCGCAGCCGTGAGGGCCGCGTCCGCCGCTGCGATGGAGTAGCAGTCTGCCGTGATGCTCAGCGTGTCGTCGCCGTTGGCCAGCGCAGCAGAGAGAGGAGCCTCCAGATGCAGGTTGCGAACGACGTTGCTTCCGCGAACGAGCTCCCAAGTCGTGAAGCCCGCCCAGGCCGGCGCGTTAACAACTCCGCCGCTGCCGGAAAGCTGCAGGGCGGCGAGCTCCGCGAGGATTGCGTCGAGGGCGCTCTGGAGCGTGGTCTCGCTGGCCGAGAGCGCGGCGTTCGTGGCGTACGAGGCCAGCAGCGTCGCGTCGGCCTTGGCCCCCTGGAGCGCCGCGATGCTGGCGTCCCGGCTAGCAAGCTGCGCTGCGACGAAGGCCTCGGTGGCGAGACCCAGCAGGGCGTGTGCTATCTTGGTGTCTACCTCCAGCGGCGTGTCCAACCCGTCCACCGTGGAGAGCAGGGAGGCCAGCGCGCTGGCATCCGCCTTGCCGAGGAAAGCAGCGTCCAGGGCTGCCGTGGTGACTGCGCCCAGGAGGGCCGCCGCTATCTTAGAGTCCACCTCTAAGGGAAGTGTCGACGGCAGACAGCAGGGCGTAAGCAGAGCACCGGCGTCCGCCTTGGAGGCCTGCAGCCCCGAGATGGAGGCGTCTCGACTTGCGAGCTTGGAGGCCAGCGCCGCGGCGGTGACGACGCCCAGAAGAGCGTTGGCCACCTTGGTGTCGACCTCCAGCGGCGTGATCCTCGCCGCTATGTCTAGGGAGTGCTGGTCCACCACCGTCTTGAGGCCGTAGTTGGCCGCCACCGTGGCCAGCGTGGCGTTGTTGGCCAAGGCGATGGAGCCGTTCATGGCCGCCGTGGTGCTCTTCGTGGCCACCACGCCCTCCAGCACGTCGAAGGCCGACTGGTCTGCCTTGTTGGAGAGACCCGTGGTCAGCGAGCTCTGCAGCGCTGCGATGCTGCTTCCGTGCGCAGCCACCTGTCCGTCCGTGGTGGCCAGGGCCGCAGCCGTGGCCAGAGGCGCAATTGCCGGCGCCAGCGCGCTGCTGTCCAGCTTTGAGGCCAGCTCAGCGGTGACCCGGTCGTCCAGGGACTGGATGGCCGCTGCGTTGTTGCCTGAGGCTGCCGTGACTCCGACGCCGACGAGAAGGCCGAAGGCCAGTTTTTTTTGGGTGATTCTCTTTGGATTGAAAGGGAAACAACTAGGACACACAGCACTTTGTATTGTATCATCACCACTAACTTAATCCAGCATTTCCAGCACAGAATCACGAAAGCTAGCTCCTTGTTCTCGTTTCCCTCAGCTTTGCTGAGTGCAGTGGGTCAAAATCTCGACTTTCAGAAAAGGGTCTGATTTTGCACAAGAAACGAGGGTCGCATGGGGGGGGCCTATGCAACAAGATCGCCCGGCTCATGTCATCTCACCTCGTTACGCCCCCTCGCGCCTTACGTAACAAAATCGCCTCCCCAGCTCCATTCGCACAGAGTTCGCGAGGGGTTCCGCGCCGGCTTGCAGAGCAGACTCAGGCAGGGCTGGCTGGCAGAAACCCCTTGCGGAGAGCTCGTTGCCCGTCCCAACCCAAGCCTGAACCCCCCCCGCCTTGCTTGCCGTTGCCGGGCTTTTGCCGAATAGGTCTGTCTTTCACGCCAGCGTTGCGGAGGTGTGCTTTCTGTATTACTCTTGTACGGAATAGTTGCGGCTTTTGAGCTGGAGGTCTGTCCATGGAAGTGTATGTTATTGTCACTTTCGGAGCCGAGAAAGGTCCGTTTCAGGATTAGTGCCAACTTGAGAGGTACACAGCCGCAAAGACGTCCAAGTCTAACACACAAGCACAAACCCATTTTCGTTCTGAGCAACATGAGTTGACAAGCGCTCGCGGAATTGCTAATTAATTAATGTTTATGAGTCATGTTTGCGTGACCTTGAGGGAGCTCGCGAACGTTCGCGTACATGTGTCGCCATGTGTCGTGACCCTCCCCATGACTAATGGTGCTTTTACCGCCTGCCCCCAGGGATTTTTCGCAAGAAAAAAGGGAAGGACGGGGGGGGGGGGGGTGAGGGCGAACGTTCTTGTCCAAGAGGCTGCCAGCTCGTCGTGGAGGAAGTGCACACATTGCCTTCGTCTGTGTGTGTATGTGTCCGTGTTTTCATCCTGTTTCTCTGTGTGCGTGTCTGCGCGCTTGTGTTTGCATGTGTGCATGATTGTTTGTGTGACGTAGTGTCTTTGTAAATGTCCAATGATATACGGTGACTCTTTGTGGTTGCAACACCCTCAACCGGGATGGTGGACGTAGCTTGTTCTGTCCAGAGGGTCCATGTGCTTTCAGGAGAGCTGTGTAAATGAGTTTTTCCTTGTGGCGCTGTAGGACTGAGAAACGCACATGTTCGCTGCCAGGGCAGTGTTTGAGTGTTGATGTTCGCCGCTGGCCCAGTCAGAGCTAGAGACATCTGGGTGCTAAGCTCGCGTGCTCAGATGGCGTGTGATCGGAGACCGGGCTTCCTTACGATGCCGTATTCGGGCTGATCTTGGTGAGTGAACTTGTCGCCCGGTCATTAACACTCCTCGTTGGACATGCTTGCAGCGCAGATGACATGGAGCCCCACGAATCCGCGCACCTCTGGCAAATTGCTTTTTGACCGCACAACCCAGCAGCCAAATCTCGGTGCGCCAGTCGCCTGCGCACCTGGCAATTTCCACAGGTTAGTGTAAGAGAGACGACAATAAGGCTCACCAAATGAGCGCAGAGTCATATTTGCCGTGTCCGAGAGCATGCGTGCGCAAAGGCGACGTCCAGGCGGAGCCCCGCAGCATCAACAAGCCCGAGTCGGATTCCCCGTAGTGGCGCAGGCAGAACATTCTTTTCCTTACACAGAGCCCAAGCTTGCGGTCGGTGTGATTCCGTAGGCAGGTGCAAGTGCCTAGAACAGTCAGAGACCTGTCAGCCCAGCAAGGCGTTAACGCCGAGCTGACAGGCCAGATCTGAATGGGTGGGGGCCAGGCCTCACTGCGCGTGATTCTGCGAAGCCATAGGCAGCCCCTGATTTGGCTGCGGTTTGCGCGCGAGGGCGGCGCCAAAGGAGCCTCCTGCGAGGATGCGTGTCACGCATCAGAAGCACCAAGGCGGCCGAAAGCAGTGTTTCCGCCTGTAGTCCAGATCGCGGTCCCGTCACAAACTTGACCTTGTTTTCCATAAGGGCTTGTGCGACCCGGCATGGATGCACGTGGAAGTGCGGTGTGGCGCCTGATGCACTGACGCCATTTGTTCTTTGCGTCTGCGCAGCTTCCACGCCTTCTGAGTCAGAAGGGTGATGATGCTGAACATAGAGTTGCTGGGCGGTGGGTTCGACTAGTGAGTGTCGGCTCACCATAACCTCAATCCAGAAAATTCAACCGGACTGATCCACGACCAGGCCCTGTGCCTCGAGCAAGACCCGAGCCCAAAGCCACCAAAGTGCAAACCTGGCCACCGCGCGATGGGCCCCCCTCCAGCCATTGCAGCAGGCTTGATGAACTGTCTCTGGTGGCTGCATGCACGAGAGGCGCCGACTGCCTGGTCTCCGAGATGTCGGCATCGTCAGTGGTCACCTGCGAAGTGTGCAGCCGATGCAGGCAGCTGCACAGCTGCTGCACATGTGAGCATCCGGTGCTCACGCAGGTCTTGATGCCAGCAGCAACGCACCGGTGTCTGACGCTCCTGCGGATGGATGGCCTATGTGCAGCACTCGAGTGGACGGATCCGACGGAGGACCATCTCCTGCACAGGCGACGCCAGGAGCAGTGCAGCTGGAGGCGGTGGTGTGGAGAGCGAGAGCAAAAAAAAAAGCCTCCTCCTGCCGCCAACCACCAGCAGCTGGACACTGTCGATGCTGGCGTGTTTTCGTTCGGCTAGTGGCTGCCTGCGGCCTCCACGGCGATGTCTCTGATCTTCGACGTCTGGTAGCTGAGGTGCTTGCCAAGCAACGCATGCATCGACCTTTGCAAAGCAATGGCTGCGAGAAGTGGCTGAGCCTTGCGACTGAGTGGGCGCACGGGCCTGCATCGCTGCACGGGGTGTCAATGGCCCAGTTGCATCTTCCATTGGGATCCAACGGCTGACGCAGGTTATGCCAATCTTGATGCAAGCTTAGCCAGCGGCAGGTCTGCCCGATGCCATGGCGATTCAAGAACCTGCAGCTACTCGGCCGTCGGCAACCGGGCAGCCGCCAAGCCACAAGCCATTGCCTTGGAACGTTCGCGGCTCGTAGAGACGTGCCCTCAGACTTGTGCATGCCCCTTGCGAGGCAGCCTGGGAACTTCGAAGACAGAGACTTCCCGGGCCGTGTCGTTCATCAGAGGCTTGTAGTGCATGGCTTAGATTAAACATTTGTCTGCGCAGCGGCATTTAGGCATCATGTTTCGGAACGGAGTGGCAAAGCGGCGGCTTGCACGCACATACTTGCATTTGCTCCCTCGTGGCCGCCGTTTTTCTTGCAACCCATTTTAGTCAAGCGGCCCACGCAAGCGGCAGTAAAGGATACCACTTGATCTCTCTGAAGCATGGCCATAGCAAAGTTCACAGGGCTGTACGCGGGTTGGCCGGGACGTTCCAAGCTCTAGCTGTTCGCAGCCAAGACGTCCGCAGTGGTCTTGCCATTGACGCTCCAGTTGCGCGCTAACCGCGCCCCCGTCCTGAGCGGCCGCAACTCAATTTTCTGCGCCAAGATTATGCTCAGCCAAGCACTGCTTGGTTACCACACAGTCGCCCCGAGGTCAGGCCGGGCTGCGTTGAGCAGCGACCCATTTGTCGCGTGCAAAGGCAGCGGGCAACATATTGGCATTGTGGCTCGGGTTTTAGACGTGAGCCTTTTGCTTGCGGGCCCCAACTTCTAGTGTTTGCAAGCAGGCGCCTGTTTGAGTCCGGACAGGCTGCGCTGTGCCTGGCTTTGAGGCCTGCTGCTTGTTCTCTCAGCCCCGACTTGCACGGGGCCTCAAAGTTTTCAGCCGCAATCAGCACGAAGCTGGCTTGTGTGGTCGTGCTCGACGTATTGCGGTTGGGAGGTCTACACAGCCGCACCTTTCCATCTTAGAGCTGTCGCGGCCGGTCATCCCGAGTGGAGACAGCGCTCGAGTCAGGCCCTGGCCGCTTTGGCTTTGGCTACGCCGCATCCGTTGCCAGAAGTGCAGGCAGAACCACGCTATGAGGCCTTTGTTCATTCGCAGGGCAGTGATGTCAAGGTCCCAGCTTGATTGCGAATGTGTGACATACCCCACAAAGCGCCCCGACTCCTTCCAGACTGGATTTTCCATTACCCCCTATGCGAATTGCTATTCGGAGCTTGCCTGTCTGCTCAGGGGTGCGCAAGTTGACATGAGCTTCGGTGGGTCAAAGCGTCTTGTGGATGGCCAGGTGGTCCAGACTGATCACGGATCCACACTCAAAGTGTTGCCTTGGATGTTGCATACGCGTATGGAACTGTGAGGCGCACGGTCCATCATGGTCGCACTATGCTTTCAGGTCATTACACTAACATCCTTTGGGATCACAGCCAGGCATGGGGCACGGATGATCATGAAGCGGCCAGAGCACTGGATCAGTTTCGGGGTGAGCCGTGCCTGCTCTGGTTTGCTAAGGGTGACATTCTGGGAGCCGAAATCTGAGACGCTGACCGGTTTCCCAGTCCAGCATCACCCTCAGTCATGCTTTCTTCCCTAACTTGAACTCTGGCTGTGGACTTGGGTAACATCGGGGTCCATCCTTGGTGTCTTGGGGCTGTGCAGCAACGCAACCTGAATGCTAGTTGGCAACTTCAAACTGTGACCTATGGCCACGGGGCAAGAACATTTCCACGGTATGTGTGCAGGCAGCGAGTTGCAAGTTCAGAAGAGCAGCTTGTGATAACCAGCATTTGTGTGGACACTTGCTTGCCACTTGCATGTGCGTGCTTCCACGCAGCCCTCAGCTTTTCATCCGAGGCGCGACTTCAAATCCGAACCCCTTGTCCTGTGCAGCCCGACTCATTCGATTCTGCCTGACTTTCGGTCGCTTCCCAGCCACCTTTTGTGCATACTCTGGGTCCAGCGTGGGCTCTCCGCATCCTGGTCCGTAGAAGCAAAAGGGTTCTGAAACGGAGGCAATCCAGTTTCAACATGGCCAGTCCCGTTCCCATGCGCATGCTCGCCAGAGTTAGGTTCTTCCGTATTGGTCCAAGCCTATTGGGTTCTTCTGGAAACTCGGACTTTAATATCCTGGCAGGCAGTGTCCCGTGTCAAGGTCACCGTAAGTCCAGACGGAAATGCTCACGCAGTCGTCGCACTCAGATGCTTCAAGAGCATACCAGGCTCCTTGAGGGTAAGGCCGTTGACAGTCTGATTTCGTGGTGGCCTGGCAAGCTTCGACAGCGCAAAGGATGCAGCAAGCAACCGCACTAATGAAGTTATGCACAAACATGCGAATCCAACAGAGTTCAATCGCTCTTCACTTCTTGATACCTGGGTTTCAACCGGAAGAGCTCTGCATTAGCAATCGAGAGCGCTGGGTCTTGCCTCGTGCCCAAAGAGCTACGCAGCGTCTACAACTCCCACGGAACATTGATGGTCTGGTTTGGCGATAGGATGTAAGGGTACGTGATCAGCCTGCCGACGCTGCTCCGCAGGACGTGTGCATGTTTGCAGTTGCCGCGCTACCAGCCCTCAGATTCTTTCAACGGTTTCAGCCACTTTTTGCTTGTGGCTTTGGTTGCTTGATTGCGGCTCTGCAGCTTCTGTGGCTTTCAGAGAGCTTGATGCCAAATTAGTATCAGTACTATGATGCGATCCACTTAAGCACCCATTTCTTGCGCGCACGGCGCTACGATGCCATTGTGTTCCCAAGTTGGTGTGAGATGATAGTGCCAGTGTTTAGACACGTCTTTGGATGGTGTTCGCCCCGACTGGCGTGCTTGCGCTCTTGCGCTCCCTGGCCTTTCGCTTTCTGTTGTGGGGAGTGGGGGGTGTTTGAGGAGGCATGTCTGTTCGAGCGCAGTCCAAAGCTTTGTTTCTGACTGGCGCATCTTGTGATGCTTCTCCGGTAGACTTGCTGCCTAGAAACGGCTGAGCACGCCGCGTTCCCTTGACTGAATTGCAGTGAAAGGGGCGGACAGCCTGCAGCGCGGAGCACAAAATGCTGCAGTCAAGCGGTGATAGAATTTCGAGATCTTCTTGAAGGAGCAATCGCTGACCATTTGAGGCGTACCATGCAGTGAGATGCGAGGCAAGCTTGTCTTCGTTTGCTGGCAGATGTTTGCGCCAGTCAAAATCGATGTCGAGTTGGGCTGGTTTCTCTCAGCCGGGGGCATTGCCCACAAGTGCGATTGGCAGGGCCGCCACTCCGGCACTGGAGGTGCTAATTCTGGTTGTTGTGGAAGCAAACAGTGGACTGCAGCCCAACCAAAGGCGTTGGCTGATTTCCGTTCCTTCTGCGCAGGCGTGCCAAGGCTGTGCCGCAGGAAGTGTGGATGTTTGCAGTTTCTGGCTGATGACTGGCAGAAACAAGAGCAACAATTCAATCGATATTCACTTGGTACCTGGTTTCAACCGGAAGCGCTCTGCATTTGCAATCGAGAGCGCTGGGTCTGGACTCGTGCCCAAAGGGCCGAGCGGCGTCCATGACTCCCACTGAACATTGATGGTCTGGTTTGGCGATAGGATGTAAGGGTACGTGATCAGCCTGCCGACGCTGCTCCGCAGGACGTGTCCATGTTTGCAGTTGCCGCGCTACCAGCCCTCAGATTCTTTCAACGGTTTCAGCCACTTTTTGCTTGTGGCTTTGGTTGCTTGATTGCGGCTCTGCAGCTTCTGTGGCTTTGAGAGAGCTTGATGCCAAATTAGTATCAGTACTATGATGCGATCCACTTAAGCACCCATTTCTTGCGCGCAGTGCCGCCACCTTTGGCTGTTCGAATGCTGCTTGTTGATCTGGCACTTGTGTCAGGCCAGGCAAAGCCACTGGATTTTTGGGAGCTTGCAAGTCAAGCTGGCATATGAATAACGATAGGCACGTAAGAGTGAGCAGGCAGAAGGGCAGCTTTCGACAGCATTTGCACGGCGCTACAATTTCATCATGTTCCCAAGTTGGTGTGAGATGATAGTGCCAGTGTTTAGACACGTCTTTGGATGGTGTTCGCCCCGACTGGCGTGCTTGGCTCTTGCGCTCCCTGGCCTTTCGTTTTATGTTGTGAGGAGTGGGGCTGTTTGAGGAGGCATGTCTGTTCGAGCGCAGTCCAAAGCTTTGTTTCTGACTCGCGCATCTTGTGATGCTTCTCCGGCAGACTTGCTGCCTAGAAACGGCTGAGCACGCCGCGTTCCCTTGACTGAATTGCAGTGAAAGGGGCGGACAGCCTGTCAGCTTGGAGCACAAAATGCTGCAGTCAAGCGGTGATAGAATTTCGAGATCTTCTTGAAGGAGCAATCGCTGACCATTTGAGGCGTACCATGCAGTGAGATGCGAGGCAAGCTTGTCTTCGTTTGCTGGCAGATGTTTGCGCCAGTCAAAATCGATGTCGAGTTGGGCTGGTTTCTCTCAGCCGGGGGCATTGCCCACAAGTGCCATTGGCAGGGCCGCCACTCCGGCACTGGAGGTGCTACTTCTGGTTGTTGTGGAAGCAAACAGTGGACTGCAGCCCAACCAGCGCAGGCGTGCCAAGGCTGTGCCGCAGGAAGTGTGGATGTTTGCAGTTTCTGGCTGGTGACTGGCAGAAGCAAGTCAATCGATATTCACTTGCTACCTGGTTGCAACTGGGCTGGGTCTGGACTCGTGCCCAAAGGGTCACGTGGAATCCATGACTCCCAATCAGCATTGATCGCCTCGTTTGGCGATAGGATGCAAGGGTACGTGATCAGCCTGCCGACGCTGCTCCGCTGGACGTGTGCATGTTTGCAGTTGCCGCACTACCAAGCCTCACATTCTTTCAAAGGTTTCAGCCACTTCTTGCTTTTGGCTTTGGTTGCTTGATTGCGGCTCTGCAGCTTCTGTGGCTTTCAGAGAGCTTGATGCCAAATTAGTATCAGTACTATGATGTGATCCACTTAAGCACCCATTTCTTGCGCGCAGTGCCGCCACCTTTGGCTGTTCGAATGCTGCTTGTTGATCTGGCACTTGCGTCAGGCCAGGCAAAACCACTGGATTTTTGGGAGCTTGAGAGTCAAGCTGGCATATGAACAACGATAGGCACGTAAGAGTGAGCAGGCAGAAGGGCAGCTTTCGACAGCATTTGCACGACGCTACGATGCCATCGTGTTCTGAAGTTGGTGTGAGATGATAGTGCCAGTGTTTAGACACGTCTTTGGATGGTGTTCGCCCCGACTGGCGTGCTTGCGCTCTTGCGCTCCCTGGCTGTGGGTAGTGGGGGGTGTTTGAGGAGGCATGTCTGCTCGAGCGCAGTCCAAAGCTTTGTTTCTGACTGGCGCATCTTGTGATGCTTCTCCGGCAGACTTGCTGATTAGAAACGGCTGAGCACGCCGCGTTCCCTTGACTGAATTGCAGTGAAAGGGGCGGACAGCCTGTCAGCGCGGAGCACAACATGCTGCAGTCAAGCGGTGATAGAATTTCGAGATCTTCTTGAAGGAGCAATCGCTGACCATTTGATGCGTACCATGCAGTGAGATGCGAGGCAAGCTTGTCTTCGTTTGCTGGCAGATGTTTGCGCCAGTCAAAATCGATGTCGAGTTGGGCTGGTTTCTCTCAGCCGGGGGCATTGCCCACAAGTGCCATTGGCAGGGCCGCCACTCCGGCACTGGAGGTGCTACTTCTGGTTGTTGTGGAAGCAAACAGTGGACTGCAGCCCAACCAGCGCAGGCGTGCCAAGGCTGTGCCGCAGGAAGTGTGGATGTTTGCAGTTTCTGGCTGGTGACTGGCAGAAGCAAGTCAATCGATATTCACTTGCTACCTGGTTGCAACTGGGCTGGGTCTGGACTCGTGCCCAAAGGGTCACGTGGAATCCATGACTCCCAATCAGCATTGATCGCCTCGTTTGGCGATAGGATGCAAGGGTACGTGATCAGCCTGCCGACGCTGCTCCGCAGGACGTGTGCATGTTTGCAGTTGCCGCGCTACCAGCCCTCACATTCTTTCAGAGGTTTCAGCCACTTCTTGCTTTTGGCTTTGGTTGCTTGATTGCGGCTCTGCAGCTTCTGTGGCTTTCAGAGAGCTTGATGCCAAATCAGTATCAGTACTATGATGCGATCCACCTAAGCACCCATTTCTTGCGCGCAGTGCCGCCACCTTTGGCTGTTCGAATGCTGCTTGTTGATCTGGCACTTGTGTCAGGCCAGGCAAAACCACTGGATTTTTGGGAGCTTGCAAGTCAAGCTGGCATACGAATAACGATAGGCACGTAAGAGTGAGCAGGCAGAAGGGCAGCTTTCGACAGCATTTGCACGGCGCTACAATTTCATCATGTTCCCAAGTTGGTGTGAGATGATAGTGCCAGTGTTTAGACACGTCTTTGGATGGTGTTTGCCCCGACTGGCGTGCTTGGCTCTTGCGCTCCCTGGCCTTTCGCTTTATGTTGTGGGGAGTGGGGGGTGTTTGAGGAGGCATGTCTGCTCGAGCGCAGTCCAAAGCTTTGTTTCTGACTGGCGCATCTTGTGATGCTTCTCCGGCAGACTTGCTGCCTGCAGTGAACGGGGCGGACAGCCTGTCAGCTTGGAGCACAAAATGCTGCAGTCAAGCGGTGATAGAATTTCGAGATCTTCTTGAAGGAGCAATCGCTGACCATTTGAGGCGTACCATGCAGTGAGATGCGAGGCAAGCTTGTCTTCGTTTGCTGGCAGATGTTTGCGCCAGTCAAAATCGATGTGGAGTTGGGCTGGTTTCTCTCAGCTGGGGGCATTGCCCACAAGTGCGATTGGCAGGGCCGCCACTCCGGCACTGGAGGTGCTACTTCTGGTTGTTGTGGAAGCAAACAGTGGACTGCAGCCCAACCAGCGCAGGCGTGCCAAGGCTGTGCCGCAGGAAGTGTGGATGTTTGCAGTTTCTGGCTGGTGACTGGCAGAAGCAAGTCAATCGATATTCACTTGCTACCTGGTTGCAACTGGGCTGGGTCTGGACTCGTGCCCAAAGGGTCACGTGGAATCCATGACTCCCAATCAGCATTGATCGCCTCGTTTGGCGATAGGATGCAAGGGTACGTGATCAGCCTGCCGACGCTGCTCCGCTGGACGTGTGCATGTTTGCAGTTGCCGCACTACCAAGCCTCACATTCTTTCAAAGGTTTCAGCCACTTCTTGCTTTTGGCTTTGGTTGCTTGATTGCGGCTCTGCAGCTTCTGTGGCTTTCAGAGAGCTTGATGCCAAATCAGTATCAGTACTATGATGCGATCCACCTAAGCACCCATTTCTTGCGCGCAGTGCCGCCACCTTTGGCTGTTCGAATGCTGCTTGTTGATCTGGCACTTGTGTCAGGCCAGGCAAAACCACTGGATTTTTGGGAGCTTGAGAGTCAAGCTGGCATATGAACAACGATAGGCACGTAAGAGTGAGCAGGCAGAAGGGCAGCTTTCGACAGCATTTGCACGGCGCTACAATTTCATCATGTTCCCAAGTTGGTGTGAGATGATAGTGCCAGTGTTTAGACACGTCTTTGGATGGTGTTCGCCCCGACTGGCGTGCTTGGCTCTTGCGCTCCCTGGCCTTTCGCTTTATGTTGTGGGGAGTGGGGGGTGTTTGAGGAGGCATGTCTGCTCGAGCGCAGTCCAAAGCTTTGTTTCTGACTGGCGCATCTTGTGATGCTTCTCCGGCAGACTTGCTGCCTGCAGTGAAAGGGGATGTTTGCAGTTTCTGGCTGATGACTGGCAGAAACAAGAGCAACAATTCAATCGATATTCACTTGGTAGCTGGTTTCAACCGGAAGCGCCTTTGCATTTGCAATCGAGAGCGCTGGGTCTGGACTCGTGCCCAAAGGGCCAAGCGGCGTCCATGACTCCCAACGAGCATTGATCGCCTGGTTTGGCGATTGGATGCCGCATACCATATCAGAAAATGAGGGCACAAACTAGCTACATGGCTGGGTGGGTTTCCTTAAGCAGTGTCCCAATAAATAGCAACCCAATGGTTAAGTTCCGAGTCCCAAGCCGACATTTATATATGGGCGAAAATCCATGCCGACCGGCATGAGAACTGGGCCAAAAACTAGGATTTGGCTCATCCACAGCATTGCGGGGTTCCTATCCAGGGGTCCCCGAAGTGTGGTACTCTTTTTCTTGGGGCCTTTTTTGGAGTGGCTTTGAAGGAGAACATTGTAGCCAACATGCCGCCCGCTTCTAGGGTTCCAGGCTTCACAACATTTCCATGCTAGCTTTGCTCATGGCTTCGCATCGTTTAGGGGGAGGCGTTCGGCTTTTGCTGTACAGTAATTCACGGCCCCAGGTCGCCGGGGTGGGGGTTGGGGGGCTTGGGGTGAGTTTCAGTGATAGGTCGTTCTCTCCCAGCCGCATGCCCTTCAAGTCACATTTCGGAACAAGAGGAACCTGGCTGACCTGAGATAAGGTCGCAAGCAATTCCCTGGTGAGGATGTTACCCATTGCCCAGGCAAAATGTTTTTATTTCTCTGAAAAACCGGCTGTATGTGGCAGTCGATCTGCCGGGTGAAGCAATGGGCCACTGGGGTCACTGCCTGGGTGCCTGTAAGTAACCCCATGTCACCCGGCTCCGGTGGTTCAGGAGGAGCTGCTGTCTTGGTTCCACTTCTGGGACTCTCAGAAGCAAGGCGCGGTTGAACCCGCCGAGCCTGGGCCATCGAGGGGGGGGGGGGAGGGTGGGGCACAAGCAGTCCTTGGATTGAGGCTATTTGAGTCCCCTTTTTTGCTGGTTTGAGCCATTTCCGGGGCGTCCTTTGAAAAAAGCCACAGCCAACTGAGCCTTTGGATCGACCCCATTGGATTATTGTTTGTGGAGGCTACCTGGACTCTGCCACGCTGCGTCTGGCGGTGGTGACAACTTTCCACACCGCGCTGGCAAACACTGCGGACACCGCCACGAAGGACACCGCTCAACCATTGACAGATTTAGGTGGGTTCTACTCCCAGGTCTTATACATATATATATATATATATACACATATATATATATATACATATATATATATATATATATATCTATACACATACATAGTAAGGCCTATACAAACCTTCTTGGTGGAGCCCAAAGTAGATGTTTTGAGCACTGCTCCCCTGGCATGTGCGTGCGTGTCTCGGTTGTGAGGCTCCGAGCCCCGTTGTGTGGTTCAAAAGGGAAGCGTAAAGGGAAACGGTTCACCATTTGGAGGGTCCCCTATTTTGATCATGGCTCATGTGTACCAGGGTGAAAAGGACACCTTTACTTGAGGTTGGTAGGGACTTTTCATGCACCTGTGAATACATAAAAACAATCTCACAATCATGATGAGAATTACGAAAGGGGAACCACTCTGTTGAGCCCTGCCTGGATGCAATTATTGACAAGTTTATCTGCTGATTTGGGCTCTGTTGAGCCATGCCTGGATGCATTTACTGACAAGATTTGTGGCTGATGTGTGCCCTTTCGGGCACTTTCTTTCGATTTGAGAAATCCTCTCCCCACTCCAAACCCGCGACTTTTACAAATCTGCCGTTTTCCTTTCGCATCCATTAAAAAACAACCATGCACCTCAAAAAGAGCTCTTCAAAAAAGGCACGCGCCCCGTTACTTCCCGCTGGGCCGATGCCTGTTTTCGGAGGATCAGCGAGGCCCAGTTCTTCGAGAAGATGGCTCCGCGGCGAAAAAGAAGAAGTCGCGAGCGTCGGGTGTTTTCGAGGCGAAGTGGTCCGGCACAGTTTTTTGGGGTTGGTGGAATGGGAAACCAAAGGACACCGACGGTTTGTCTTATAGAGAAACCGTTTGGGTGTGTGTTTTTAGGGTGATGAAGCAACCCTTTTTGGGGTTGCTTTATCCGGAAACCAAAAGGACAGCTGCAACAATGGACGGGCTGGCGTTTCCTGATGCACCCACCAATGCGTGTTCTGGGTCCTGTGGTTGAACCTGGTTGGTTCACTTAATATTCAGGGAATCCATCTTTAGTCCATTTCACCCAACAGTTCGTCCTTCGAATTCGCCAATGCATTCTGCGGGGGTCACCGCATAGGAGTCGCAGAGCTTCCTGAAGATGGTTATTCCCCGGAGCCATGTCCGATTTGGGGTTTGACCTTTCAATGTGTGATTGGCCATGTCTTTGAATGTCATTCGGAGGTGATGCGATAGCAACCATCCGTTGGCATTTGGCTCAAGTTCGGATCCGTCGCAACCTCGGATGAGCGTCGCCGGGTCCCCACGTCGATCACCCACGTGTCGGAGGAGAAAGAGACTTCGGCCCGGGGCAGGTTGGTGGGGAGTGCCCGTGCGGTTCATCGTCGACCCAGGTTGCGGGTATCCTTTTCCCTTTTGGTTTGGTTTGGATTGTGGTTGTTTGGTCACTTGTGTGCGTGGGAAACCCTGATCTTTCGGGCCAGAAAATTGGTTACTGTTTTGGGGCCTTTCTTTTGTGGCTTGTTTACCCCAACTTTTCCAATTGCCTGGGCACAGGTCCGTGCCCGAATCACAGGTTATCAGTCGTAGGACTTTCCTGCGTGCTTGTGACCTACGAGTGTGGTTGTTTGGTCACTTGTGTGTGGGAAACCCTGATCCTTGGGACCGGGGATTGGTTGCTGTTTTGGGGCCTTTCTTTTGTGGCTTGTTTACCCCAACTTTTCCAATTGCCTGGGGAACAGGTCCATGCCCGAATCACACAATGTAACACCGGTCTCACCGCTCTATGACCAGCAAGCAGGCCTTTTCCCTGCCCAGTCGAAGATTTCCAAGCTTGCAGGTTTCAACGGTCCCTCATCAGCCATTTTAAACATCACGTTTTGCGATGTGAAGCCAAAATCTAAGCCTTAGCCTTCCAACCCGTACAAAAAGCTGGAGAACTTGCCGGCATGGAAGACTCGTTGCCAAAACCTTCAGGGGGGATTCTTACTCAGAACCCTGAGGTTTCCAGACCGAACATCACACGCCTGGCCCCCCACTGCTGATGGACAAAATCCATCTCGCGCCACCAAAGAAACCCTGGAATGATTCAATTCGCCTACAAATACCGAACAAAAACAATGGTTGTAACCATGGCATCCTTAGGTGGTGCGAAGTGGATTTCGCAACCATCCACGGTATGTAGCACCCGGCAACCCGGCACGGACTTCTTTGAGGCCCAGCTGGCGGCGAACCTGCCAGCGGCCGTGGGACTGGGCCATCCTGGAAACGCGCTGGATGTGAAGCTCCCGCTCTCGCGCCTCGCTTTTTGTTTCCTTCGCGGGCTCGCTCGTTTTTCACGTGCCACAGGGATCCTAGGCGAAAATGGTCCAATATGAAACCAACCATATTGAAGGACAGCGGCTCAAGATGAAACCAACTATACCAGCCCTTTTTGGGCTTGTTGGGAAGATCGTAAGATTCCTTCTCCTCTTGCAAACATGGAAGTGCAAGCCTACTTTCCAAGGGGGCGGTAGTCTTCCAAAGGGTCTGTGTACTGCCAGGTTTGTTTCGGCAAGAGCATTGCTCATACCTTTCATTCCACGATCGTTACGTTTAGTTCTACTAGCCGGTGTTGTTTTTTCATGTTCAACTAATTTTGCTAGTGAAATTCTTGGAATTCGAGACGGAGGCTCCTTTTTCTTGGTTTGGGTGGGTGGGTGGGGGGGGGGGGCACTTTTGACCCAGATACAGAGGGGTTGCCTTCGTGGCGAGAAAGGACGAGGTGACATGCTGTGCAAGAGGTCGCCTTACGGCAGGAATATAGGAACACATGTTTCCCATTTGTCTGACCAGGCTTCCATGAATGAACTAGAAGGGACTGCCGTGAAAGCAGACTTGGAACAAGAGGCATCGCTCTATGCCTGCTTCTCCGGGCTCTTCGGGGGTTTACGGGAGACTTGGGTACAGCCATGAATTTCTTTGGACCCTTTGGGTGAGTCCTTTGTTGGGAAACTCAGACCGGGCTTTGTATGGGATCATGTACGAAAAGGCGCTTGGCCCGGTTTGGGGGTCCCCGAAATAAAGAGACGATATACTTCATGTGGCTGTGCGGTTTTTGGTTACTCTTTTCGGAGGCTTAAAGTTTACAGGAAGTGTACGGAAAGCACCCATTTTGGGGTGGTCCGGTGGTTGTTGTTTGCGCAGATACCGTTTTGAGTCACCACTCAGGCTCCGGCTCCGTGAAATGAAGACGGGCGCGGAGCGGCCCCTCTACTTCGACTGCGCTGGCCAGGCGACGCGACGGGCTGGGCCCTGGGCGGTCGCACAGGTTTCCGGCTTGCTGTTGGGTTGTGCGGATTGACAGGGGCTCCACATGGGCCCCAACAAACAACAAGCATTTGTCGGTTTCTACCTCTAGGTTTTACTCCTTGAGGAAGCAGCACCCCTCATGGAGACTTGGGATTTGGCGAGGAACGGACTGCTCTTGAAGCTTGTGAAGGCGTTGTGATCAGTCAGGGTCATGGAAACTGCGACTCAGCGGCTTCTCCAACGTTGGGCTCAGAAACGGCAGAAGCTTCTTGCCAGCTCCGCAGATTTCACGAGTCAGAGCCAGGGGATGCGGTGGTTTGTGGCGGAATGGCAAACACCGCCCTGCTGCATGTTTGATGTTGAGACCATCTCCCATCAACCCGTACAGGGAGGTGTCTTGAAGACCTCAACAAGCTACGACTTCTCCCCATATCGGTACTCAAAGCATCTGAACAAGGGTACTCCTAGGACAACATTGACTCAAAACCCGAATTGAGGGTTGGTAAGGGGAAGTCTCATATACACAGGTGCGTAATGAAGAGGGCGCCGCGAGCAGCCCTGTCGGGCCTTTGGTTTAGTATGCACACTTGCAAGCAGCGGGACCACACCAAATCACAGGGATTCAGACAGTGCCACTGGTATCTCTTCGCGCTGGAGCGGTTCAAGACAACCTGCAAAACCTTGGGCACTTTCTTTACGCAGGCCTTACTGTGCTCGGATTTCGCTCAGTCCTTTTGATTCATCTGGTGCTTCGGGTAGAACACTTCAGCACCAGGTTTTGAAACGGTTTTTGTTTTTCAAATTGGTGACCCCCTTTGCTTGGGGATGTTGGGGTTCAAAGGGAAACCAGGAAAACCCTACGCACCCACGGTTTGCCTTCAGCACTCGTCTCCTTTGGGAAATCATCAATTACTTGATGTTGTTTACTGCTCGGGATCTTGTTTGGGTTAACAAAAATAGCCAAAAGGTATCAAGTTCAATACCTATCCATAAAGGGGCATGACCCTAACAATAAGCCCAGGTGGTATCCCCAACAGCCCCAGACCCCTGGAATTTTCCGGAACCCTCCTGAAAGTTGTTGCTCTGGGCCTATTGACTCTATAGCTTCCAGCTGGGGACAAGGGCATACCCAACTGCGCACAAAAAGGAGCACCCAATTAAATGGATTGAATGGAATTGCACCAAAATAAACCCAGATAGGTGCCTAAATTCTTTGAAAGTCCAACGCCAGGTACCAAACTCCACGGGAAACTGCCCATAGGCGTCCTTTTTAGGTGAGTTTGGCTAAAAATAGATGGGTTGCACTGGTTTAGATGGGTTTTGTTCCATTTACCAGGGAAACCCATCTATTTTTCCAAAAGGCCACCTAGGCAGCCGCCACTTTCCACGGAAAACGGGCGGCGTCAGGTGACGGTGGGCGAGCTCCGCGAGGCAACGCACCGCGCCTCGCTTGGAGCGGGGGAGAGGGGTGCAAGCGCAGCGTGCGTAGAGGCAGACGGTGTAGCACAGTAAAGAGACGGGAACTATATATATATATATGTGTACATATAGTGTATGCTTATATATATATATATATTCTGCATACATATATATATATATATTATATATATATATATATGTACTATTATTCGTGGCTAGGATGAGAGATCAAATAGGATTGGATTTCAGGCCTCTTTGGTCGGCGAATAATCTCGGATACTGTTTACCCTCCCAAAGGCAAGGTGTTAACTGGACCGCTGCGGACAGATTTGTTCTTCCAACATGCGCGCGCGCTTCAGGTACCCTCTCCCAGACTAACATAGGAAGCTCCGAGGACCCCTTTGGAAGACTTGGTCACTTGGTCCCATTTACAGAGACCTTCTGGGAGCTTCCATGTTAGTCTGATGGAGTGTACCCATTTTGGGGATCGACAGAGGGACACACATTCGACTAGTCGCCTTTGAAACTTGGAGCATCGGATTGGTTGCCCGATCCATCGTTCAATAGGCGCAAACTCCAAGTGGCGCAAGCCAATCTCACAATTGAAGGTCCAGAAATTCTCGGGGAGAGTGAGTGTAGTTCCATGTAAGCTGCAGCAAAACCGCAAGACTTAAATACAAGTTTGCTCATGGGTGCACGTACCCTGGTGTTCCTTGTGTACACTGGACCATGAGTTGAAGTAAGGAGCTTGTACCTCTCAACTTCATAAAACTACACCACATGGGCGGGAGCAGTTCTGATTGCGGGTTTGTGTACATTTCGCTGCTAGCGAATCAATGTACGGATATGATCAATGACCAATATTTCAAGCATGTTGCTTCCGCTTCGGAGCAATCTAAAGGGAGAAGACAGGGGCCCTGGTTTGTCCACCAGCCTGTTTCGTGGGCCCATGAGGCAAACGTCAATCAACATGGAGGTCCGACGATGGGTCCGAGCTCCAGCGCAGGGGTCCAAAAGCGAACGAAAGTTCCTTGGACCAACCGCTGGAAAAAGCCACCTGAGGGCGCTTCCCGGTGCTGCTTTGCAGGCGCAAGGCGTGGCAGTTGCCGGGTGAGGCCCTTTGAAGGGGTTCATTTCTGGGGGCCATTCTAAAATTTCAATCTAAGTGCAGGTTCCTTGTCCCTGACATCATCCCAGAGCATCTCAATCAGCATGGGCCGAACAGTTCATGCTCAAATATATTTTGAGGCTACCTTTTGGGGAGTGTGCGAATGGAAGCCAATGACAACACCGCCCATTTTGGGTCTCAGTCAAATACAAAGAACATCCAGGCCGCTCGGGGAAGACACGTTTCGCGAGGGGTCTCGGGAGCTTTCTGCAAAAAGGCACATGAATACGAGAAGCGCCTCACAATACAAGATTCCGTTACTTGAGATGCATATACTTTTTTTGGTGGGGGGGGCTCATGCTCATTTGGGAGTTATCTTTGGTATGCTTCCACAGGCAGGAGGGCAGGGAAGCAAATTTCCCCCAAAAGGGACCCAGGACCCAGATTGGATGGCAGAAAAGGAGAGACCGACATGAGTCTGCCATCATTGGACGGGCGCCCTGGTTTTGGCAGCTTCTCATTCCAGCAAATCGGAGGGAGGGCACCCATTTTGCGTTGTAAGGACTCGCTGTCAGACCCACTACTCCACATGTCCATTCTTTGCATGGTATGATACCCTTTTCAAAAAGGCAGGTGAGCATCTGGTTTTGCCAAACTGTACCGTTTTGAAGCGCAGTTGGAGTAGAGGCTAAGGGTCCGAGTCACACAAAGTATCAGCGAGGCGAAGCTCTTCGTCATGGGTCAGCAGTTGGAGGACGATCAGCTTCACCTCTTCAAAGTTCGGGGAATCTACGCGCCCCGGCTCTCCGCGGGAGGCGTGTCCATTCATTCGGAAGTTTCCCTTGAAGCCACATGGCCGTGGGTCAACACCAATGGGATCCCATTTTGGGGTAGGTGCACCCCCCATTTTAGTCTTTTTTAAGTGGGGATTGGGATGTTCACTGCGGGTAGGGGGTTTTGACCCATAGCCACATTTAGGCGTCAATTCTGAGGATGTCAATTTAGTGGAACCGGTTGGACGTTGGGCGGGCATGTGGCTAGGCGTAAGAACCCGCAGTCCACATCACCCTCAAAAATAAGTTGCCTGATCAGTGAATTCTGGGTACATGACTCCACTTGAGGGAGCGCTACCTGCTTTTAAACAAAACAAACCATGAAAGGGGCGCATATTCAATGGCCCATGCATTGCCTGGATTTCCAGTCGCAACTTGTCTGCCCTTCAGACACCGCCCAAGCTTGGAGATGGGGAAACCAGCCAAGCGACTGCCCTGCAAGCGAGCATGGGGGTGAATACCTAGAACATGAAATAAACGAATCAATAACAAACACAAAAATAAAGGCAAAAAATCATCAAACAATAGCCACATCAATAAACACAAACATAGCAAGACTGCATTAGTAGATAGATAACTAAATAAATAGAAACACAACTCAATCAGTTGATTAAACTACTTAAACAAACAGATGCATAAATAAAGGACTGCGCAAACTTTGTACATGTCTTGTTTATATATATATATATATATACAGTCCTCTTCGGGAAGTTGAAGGTGCTTTGGAGTTTCCACCACTTGGCGGGATGTGTCAGGCCATTGGTGTCACTCGCTTGAGTCACCGTTACTTCAGAGTGATCTTTTCGGTTTTTTGTTTCAGGTGGAACTTTTGGAGTCACCGTTTCGGAATGATCGCCAGGAATTCGCACACTTGCACATGTTGCGGATACCGCCAGCCCTCGCATTTCGCTTTTTCAGGGCCTTTGGACTCGCAGGCGAAAAGCCGGAGCCGGTTGCGGATGAGCGGTCCCAGGGTTGGGTTTTCAGACTCCGTTGTCATTTGGCTGTGGTCAAAACCGTTTTAGGATCCCATACTTGGTTGGGATTGGTGAATTCACCCATTTTAGGACCTATTGTAGTGGGGATTGGGATGCTCACTGGGGGTACGGAATTTTGACCCATGGCCATTTTGGGCCTCTTTCGGACTCTGTCAAGAAGTGATTTAAAGAGAGAGAGAGAGAGACGTTAAAATTGGTTGCTACTTTTACTTACAAGTGCAAGTGCTGTAGTGTTCAAACAAACAGTCAACCAATGTAGTCTGCAGCTGCCAACCTTTTGACTCATGCGATGTAGTGAGCTCAAGGCCTGCAGTAGTGAACATACATGCAACACAAATGCAGGAAGTGAAGCATGTAGTTTGACACGGCCCCTCAGTTAAAAGGTCTTTGTAGTACCTTTTCAACTGAAGTGCAAAACATGGATTGACAGTAGTGATGAAAACCATTGTTGTTCATCCATTCTACTGTAGTGGCAAAAGGTAGTAACCTGCGCTCAGTAGTTCAGTGGCGCTGGATGGAATTCGTGAGGCAGCTACTCATTGTAGTAGAGCAGGAGCTCAAGCATGTAGTGCCCAGTTCTGGGCGCGGTAGGCTTGAACCATCTGTAGTCGACTGTCCAAGGTCGCGTAGTAGTGGGTGGTGAAAAAGGTTGTCATCATCGTCTATCTCAGGGCACGACATATGTTGGTCGTAATCCCTAAGGAAGCGATGTAGTAGTGCTTTGTGGTGTTGGGTGAGGTTGGTCATGGTGAGTAGTGTAAAGCCATAGTACTGGATGCTTGTGCAAAGGATGGTAGTACTGGCCTTATGTTGAAAGTCGTGGAGTTGGTCGCGGTTGTAGATGTAGTGGGGTAGGTTCCGGTAGAAGTAGTGGCATGTGATAGTTCCAAATGTAGTTATTCCTCAGGCTGTAGTTGTCGGTGAAGGTAGTCATGTCGTAGTCCACCTTGTAGATGGTCTGTGGATAGTAGTTCTGTTGTACTGACATCATGTAGGATATGTAGTCTCTGGTGAAGTGGAGAAATTGTCCTGAAGTGAGGTACCTCAGGAGTAGTGACGTAGTTGGTGTTGTTGCCAGTCGTAGTGTGGAGTGAAGTCGTGTGGTAGTAGTGGAGTTGTGACAGTGGAGTTGCTTGTTGTTGTGAGAGTAGTTGATACTCTTTGCAGTGTAAGTGCAGTGCAAAACTGAGTGTAGGGAGTGTTGTCAGGCAGTGGTGGAGTAGTGGTTGTCTGGTACTCCGTGATGTGTAGTTGATCCATGACAGTTGCCGGGTTGTAGTAAGCCGTGTTGCCAGACGTGGAGTGATTGAAGCGGTAGTTGGACTCGTTGTAGGTCTGAGGGGGTGGAGTTCCTTGGTCACTGGAGTCTGTAGTGACCGCCGCCTCAGGTGTAGTCGCCCTGTCAGGGGAGAGCCCTGGGAAGCGTTGTCTTTTCTTCTTAACCGCTTTGTACCCTGGAATCGTAGCATCTGCAGTAGATAAAGCGCTGCAGTTGAATGCAAAATGTAGTGAAACGGGGCAAAAACAAAATGAGCCTGAGCAGTAGCCATCAGGCAGGCGGCGCATGCAGACATGTAAAACAAGCAACTGTAGTGTTGACTCAATCCGCCAAAAGTGCAAGTGAAAATACATGTAGTTACTGCCACTTACATCCCAAAGGTGTCGTGTTGCATGTAGCTACTTACATACAAGAAATGTCCAAAGTCGTTGTTGTTGCTGTGAAACTGGTCGTTCGTAGTGCTAAATTGGTATCCCAATGCTCTGGATGAGCCTGTGTCGTGTTTCTTTGCCGATGTATTTGGCAAACAGATCTGCGCTGTTGTTGATGTCCTGTTTGATGAGGTCTTGTGTGTAGAGAAATTTGAGGTCGATGTGCTTTGCTCGTTTTCTAGTGCCTTGTCGTGTAGCAATGCTCTTGCCTGCTGTGGAGTCTGTCTGGATGCGTAGGTTTAGCTTGCTGCAAATGTTGGTTTCAAGTAGAAAGTTTCTGAGGTGTAGTCCCTCATTAACTCCCGTGCAAATGGTGTAGAGTTCAGACTCTGCTGAGCTGAGTGCTATTGTAGCCTGTGTTCTGCTGCCAAATGCAACTGCTGTTCCTAAAAAGATGATGTTGAAACCTGAAGTTGATTTCCTGGTAGTAGGGCATCCTGCCCAGTCGGAAGGATGTTGTTAGTGTTTGCTCTGAGCGTTGTTGTTGGTTCTATGGTGAATTTGTAGTGCTTGGTGCCGTGCAAGTAGCGTAGTAAGTGTTTGACTCTCTTTTGTGAAAGTTCTGTAGGTGCTGTGAGGTCTCGTGCTAGTTCTTTTGTAGAGTATGCGATGTCTGGTCGTGTGTATGCTAACCAGTGAAGTTTGCAAACAATCCTTCTGTACCTTTTGTGTTGTTCGTGGTCAAGAAGTGCTTAATCTTCTATTGTTGGTTTGTAGTGGGCGATTCCTGGAGTGGTCACTGTGTTGCAGTTGGTCATTCCAGACTCCTCAATCATGTTGTCGATGTAGGAGTCCTTTAGCCCTAGGTTGCAGTAGTTGCCGAAGTGGTCGATGTTTCCTTCAAGAGATTGTTGTGGTTTGCCAGGTTCGAGGTAGCCGATGTGCTTGAGTAGGACCTGCTTCTGGACGGCCTCGAAAGTGGAGTCAACCGCAGTCTTGTCTCCAAGTACCAGTAGATCGTCCACGTAGACCATGATGTAGCAGTCGCGAGTCGCATTGGTGTAGACGTTAGGCTTTTGGTGAACTGCGTAGTCCACACATGGCTTTCTTTAGTCGCCAGATTTTGTCCTGTTGTGGACAAAGTTCTTTAGGTGGCCAAAGGTAGACGTCACGTCACGTTGTTTACCGTTGTGGTCTTTTGCGATGGGTGCGTGTAGAAATGCTGTAGAGACGTCACCTAGTCGCGCGATCCAGTTTGGTCGTGACATTTGTAGTGCGAGAAGTGTCCGGAGTGTCGTGAACAATGGTGTGGAGGCGTAGACGGAGTCTTCGTCCTCGATCTTCTCCGTGTAGCCTTTTGCGACAATTCGGCTTCGTACTCCTGGTCCTTTCTTTCTGTGTACCCATCTTGCAGGTATCGCTTCTTTTAGGATGTTGTCATCGACGGTAGACGCATCTACTTCGTCGTAGACGTCGTGTAGTTTCATTTGGTTTGACTCGTGTTTCATTCCTTCCAGTAGTTGTGTTTCGTCATAACCTTCGTTGTCGAAGATTATGGGTTGGTCTTGTGAGGTGTCGTCGTTTGTGTAGGGAGTGATGGATGTTCCGTTGGGAAGTGTTACTGCGTTGATTTTCTGTCGTAGTGGTTGTGGTTCTTTGGTTGCTTGCTCCGTTGATCTGATTGTAGTGTCCTTTGAGGTCTTCTGTGCTCTGGTTGGTTGCATTACTTCTTCCGGAGTTAAACGTCTTAGTGCTTGTCGAGGTGGTGCTGGTAGTGGTGGATGTTGTCGTCCGGTTGGTGAAGTAGCCATAGGACTATCCGGTAGCGGTCGTGAACTTGACGTCGATGTAGACGGAAGTCGTGGAGGTGGTGTGGTGCGTTGTTGTTTTGTTGCGGGTCCCGCAACGATGTCGCCCGTCGCGTTCGTCTGTTGTCCGAAATCTTGCGTGGACCTTCTTTTTCTCTGACGGTTGTAGTTGCGTGTCCAACAGTGTTTGCGAACGACGGGTTGTAGCTGTTCCGTCGTGGTGCCCATGGTGTGCCGGAAACTTTGTTCAACAGTGCGAGGTCGTATTTGAAGTCCGGTTGTAGTCTCCGTACTGTTCGTACCTTTTGTACGCCTGATTCCGTTGCGACGTAGTTTTCTCCGGTTTTGGAAACTTTTCCGAGCCAGATGCATTTCTGCATCCGTAGGTCTGCTTTTGGAAGTTTCTTGTGTTGTGGTGGAAGGTAAAGTAGTGTCTCGCCAAATTCGCAGATTGCTCGCTCGTAGTTTCTTCCCCAGTGGCGTTCAAAGCTTGTGTAGCCGTCT